AGCTGGACTCTCGACCATGCCTATTCTCAGGAGCTGCGAATCCCTCAGATGTTTGTCAGGTATGAAGGAAATTTGTGAGTGCAAGTAATCCTTCTATATCCCTCCCTTTCAAGGAAAACACACAAACATGTGCATCTTGTTTATTGAACGTGTTTAGCTCTTAGTCTCCATGCCGTATGACTAAGTTTGTTTGGACAGGCCGACTGGGTGATTGTTGGTTTTTGAGTGCTGTTGCTGTGTTAGCCGAGGTTTCGCAGGTGTCAAAAGTTATAATTACACCAGAGTACAATGATGAAGGAATCTATACAGTTCGCTTCTGTATTCAGGTAATGTCACTTTTTGTTGTTGATCTAGTTTGGCCTTTTTGCTACCTTTTGTGATAAAACCTTGGTGATTATTTCATGGGACATAAAACTTATAGCAAGTATCTTTATCATGCACAGAATGGTGATACTCCAATCGTCCACCTGACCACTTGTTACATGTCTGTCACTTTTCAATTCCCGACCTTTATTAACCATGAATGTTTCTTTTTCTTGTTTCTTTAATTTCAGGGGAATGGGTTCCTGTTGTGGTGGATGACTGGATTCCATGTGAATCACCAGGTAAACCTGCATTTGCCACCAGCAGGAAGCTGAATGAGTTATGGGTATCTATATTGGAAAAGGCATATGCAAAGCTTCATGGTTCATATGAAGCATTAGAAGGAGGGCTTGTTCAGGATGCTCTTGTGGACCTCACTGGAGGTGCTGGCGAAGAGATTGACATGAGAAGTGCTGAAGCTCAGATTGATCTTGCAAGTGGAAGGCTATGGTCACAATTGTTACGCTTCAAACAAGAGGGCTTCTTATTAGGTGCTGGTAGCCCTTCAGGGTCAGATGTGCATGTGTCTTCAAGTGGAATTGTTCAAGGGCATGCTTACTCAATATTGCAGGTATTAGTCAACTACCTTGTAGATGAAGATTCTTTTGGTACCAGTCAAAGCCAATTGTAATGTAGTTCGTTCTATTTAACTTATTCCTCAGGTACGAGAAGTAGATGGCCACAAGCTTGTTCAGATCCGGAATCCATGGGCAAGTGAGGTTGAATGGAATGGCCCTTGGTCTGATTCATCATCAGAGTGGACTGATAGGATGAAGCACAAACTCAAGCACGTCCCACAGGTGAGCCCTTACTCTATTTAACATTATCAGTTTGTCACGAGATTTTTGGTTTTTGCACATATGTTGCTGCATACATACGAAAGCCTTAGATTTTTTTCGATGAAAATTGGTCATGTCATTTTCCTTCAAACAGGCAAAAGATGGTATATTCTGGATGTCTTGGCAAGACTTTCAGATACACTTTAGATCAATATATGTTTGTCGTGTCTACCCGCCAGAGATGCGTTATTCTGTCCATGGCCAGTGGCGAGGTTATAGTGCTGGTGGCTGCCAGGATTATGATACGTGGCATCAAAACCCACAATTCCGATTAAGGGCCACTGGGCCTGATGCATCATTTCCCATACATGTATTCATCACCTTAACTCAGGTGCAGTTTATATTTTCCTTTTTGATTTTTGGAGGTCATGATAAGTTGTCTTTTGTTGGCTGAAGGCAAACTGACCTTCTGCATGGCTATCTTTAGGGTGTGAGCTTCTCAAGAACAACAGCTGGCTTCAGGAATTATCAGTCTAGCCATGATTCGATGATGTTCTATATTGGGATGAGGATACTGAAGACTCGTGGTCGTCGTGCTGCTTATAATATTTACTTGCATGAATCAGTCGGTGGTACAGATTATGTAAATTCCCGGGAAATTTCTTGTGAAATGGTTCTTGATCCTGATCCAAAGGGTTACACTATAGTGCCGACAACAATTCATCCAGGAGAAGAGGCACCTTTTGTCCTTTCAGTGTTCACGAAAGCCTCAATCACCCTTGAAGCCTTATAGCATGCAATGACTACCCTTGGGTGTTTTTGTATACTTTTGGGTTCAGAGCTCATGTGAAATGATTGGCATTCTGGCTTTGAGAATGTCCACAATTGTGAGCTGGCAGAAATGAAGTCAAAAATGGTGGTGGATTGCATATGGTAATTTTCTTACAATGAACATATATGTCCTTTGTCCTTTCTCCTCAGATTTTTGGTAAACAGATACTTCTTCCTTTTTACTGGTTGCTACTGCCCTTGAGGGAGCCCCAGGTTGCACTAGTAGTTCTTGTTTTCTCAGCTTCACTGATTATTTGCTATCCTGATTGTTATAATTCTATAGCCGTCTTGTTTGTTCCTTTTCTACTCCTAAAGTATCAGAAACTGACATAAATGGTTTTGGGGGAACAGAAAAAGAAGGATTTGGTTGATTAGAATAGGTTGAGGACTTTCAGGTTCCCATGCTTGTGTCTCCTTTGCTGTTGTTTTAATATTTGTAGTTTGTTTCTTTGCAAAATTTGTGCTCATTTATCTTTTGATTTGTCCTTCTCTTTGGCCTGTATTGATGTAAGAAACAGTAGCGAGTTTCACCAAAGCTTACTTGTCTTTCTACATTATTCAGCATACATAAGCTAAACCATATAAAGCATTGTGGCAGCATAGTGAAATTGTTTTGTGGACATTTATTATGTCTTTAAAGTTTATCTGAAATTTCCGTGTGATTCTGATTTCAGCTGGATCGGCGGCGCTTGTGATTCAGTCTTTGGATTGTTAAAGCTTGCTTTCAACTTGTGGATTCTGCTTGGGCTGCAATTTTTGGATTAATACTATCAGCTCTGCTTTTCTGCTTGAGATTTGATCTGCTGAATTGAGTGAGGGGAGGGTCCTCGGGGATCAGGAAATGTAAATGGGTAGATGTTGTAAGAATATAGAATCTAATCATGTAAATGAGGTTTAGTGGAAGAATTGCCAAAAGAGATAGGGAATTAGGTATATGTTGTTAAAGGATAACTGCTGAGGAGCAACGTGGCGAATTCAGTTTGGGGATTCTGCTGCAATTTTGGAAATTGCTTGATAGGTAACATGAATTGTACATAAATCTTTTTTCCTTGCTATGGAAATGGAACCTCCCCATTTATATTCTTTTATCTATAAGGTCCTTTTATTGGTAGAAATCAATGGCAGTCATACTATTTGTTTGTTTGTGTGGAGTGGAAATTGCATTCTTCCTTTAGCTAATCTTGTTGCATTCTTCCTTTAGCTAATATTGTTGCACTCTCTCTATCTCATCTTGTCACATTGGACAAGAAAATTTGGGTGCTGATGGGGTTCTAGTCTTCTAGACTTGTATCTCTGTGTCATCTACCTCTCCGGATGGAAACAAGATATGATTTTTAGATTCCAAGCAAAAGAGAAAAAAAAATGGTTATTTTGCAGAATTCTCCTTATCTCCATCAGGAGTCAGTACCCGAGGGAAAAGAATTGAAGGCATGTTTTAAGGGTCTTGGAATATAATAAAAGTACGTATATATGTTGCCTGATAGGTGCTGTCTGTGGCCTATGAGGGATGGCACCAGAAACTGCCTCCCAACATTTAAAGAGCTCTTTATTATTGCAGTCTCCTCTTTGTCATAACTTTTGTTTTTCCAAGATCCATCCTGAAGAGAGCAAGCCCCACCCCAGTCCCCACCCACCACATTGGATCAAGTCAAAACCTAACTTCTTATCCTTCCCATTGATCAGTAATTAGGGTAGTAATTAAGCACCTAGTAGAATGTAGCAACAGACAAGTTTTGATTGCTGTGAAAGATGTTGGGAAGAGGTCAACAGCTGAGGAGATGACCCTTCAGCATATTGAAGAGAAAAAAAAAAAGGTGCTGGCTTTTTGTACAGGGATGAGGAAGGGAAGATCCACAACCATTCATGATTCACCCGCCTCGAAATGAAGAAGAAACAGCATTCTACCATCATCAAAGGTTCAACAAAAGAGCATCAAAGTTTTCATTTCCCATTAATACAATGCAATCCGCCACCTCTGCTCTGCCAATTTCTTTTACAGCCTTGAAACAATTCATTGATTGGTCTCT